AATATTTATATTTTGTATAATATGATAAATTAGGCAAAATATTTACACATATCTTAACACACATAGCTGAACGCCTCTAAAGGAAATTTAAAGACTCTTGGTAAATAAATTTCTATCAATACATATAACGTAATAAAAACTTACACTTAAGTATATGTACTTACTTTTTTTTATCATATTTTTTTTATCATTATTCAGTATTGTGAACCCCTATATAATCTAATCTGTTAAATATTAAGAATGTATTATATAATTTATAATCTACTTTATATTATCATAGATCATAGAAGCATCTTCGAAAAGTAGCATACCTTCATTACAAATAAGCTTAAGATATTCTATTTTTGAGTTATCTCCTCATCAAGCGACTCTTTTAATATTTATAATCCGCATGTCAAACTTGTTGACATAATCGTAATACTTTCAGACATTTAAAAGTATGTATATTAATACCAAAAAAAGAACACGATGAATGTGCGTACAAAAAAACCAAAACAAACGCGTTACTTCTGGGTCTTTTTTTTGTGTCCACTGTAAAGCGAACATGGAAATAAAAACAAAAAATCGGCAAACGGCACAAGTCATAGTCGGCTACCGGAGAAGAGCCTATAGCACGAGATGTCAATGTCCAACAGAAACTGGTCCAGATTTGCCGCTGACTTGTCATGCAAAATCAATGGGTGTAATTAATTAACTTTTTCTTCGTATTATGCTTTCTGTTTCCTCTTCTTTTTTCCCTCGTTTGCTTTGCATTACTTTGCATACTTCTGCGAGCATCTTTGATAATTTTTAAGTGGCAGCGAAATGATAAATCGACTCAGCTTTCTCAATTAATATAAAATTTGCTCTTGCTAAGAATTTCACGTCAATATGACAGTAAATAACCCATTGAAAGTGGTAGCTGATGACTAATTTTTGACATTTTTGATTAATTGATAAATAATAATTATATAGTATTAAATGTATTATATTTATTCTGTTCTAATATGTAGAAATATAGAATATATTATCATAATTATATATGCAAAGATTATATTTATATTACTGGATCCTCTGATGATATACCATACCTTGAATTAATTTTTCTGTGAGTTTTAAAGTTATTATTATTCTCATATGAAATCGAAAATATATATTCGTTTAAACAAATATAGGAATAAAATCATTATTGTGTGAAGAGAGCACAGAAATCTTTAAGGAAATATTGTTAATGTGAGAAATGCGAGATAGTAGTAGATTAAAAGGAAACATGCAGGTAGAACAAGAGATGCTGAAAAAAGAACAAACAGAATAAAACAAACGATGTAAATTTCATCATTTGTTTGCTTCTCTGACTTGCTCTCTCCTTCCATACGCAGAACAGTCTGCAGAATTTGGTCAAGAATGCCAAATTGCCAATTTGATGAAAAGGTCATTTTTTTGTGAGCTGCAAATCGGTCAATTAATAAGAACAAAACGTTTAAACTATATAGATTGCTAAAAACCAAAAGGTTCTGTAATTTAAGTTTCTACATAATTTATTTTTATTTCATTGTATTTTATTTTGTTCTTTTAATTTTGTTTTTGAATTTATTAAAACAAATAAACACTTACAGCTAACCCGTTTAAATATTGTGACTTTCAAAAAGCCGTTACATCTCATAGCTCAGCTTTCACAAAAACGCACAAAAAAAGCTCAAACGCGTGATTCAATAGTTACTATCGCTTAGCCGCCACACACTGTTATCGCACAGCCGCATATCGATAGCTGGCGAGCAACCTGTGTGCAGTTGTTGCCCCTTTGGCTGGTAAACAAATAATTGTTGGAAGGATACTTAACAAGAGATACTGGCGTCCGTTTACCAAACAAACGACGGCAGATGCCAAGCAGGTGAAAAGCAACGATTTGCGTAGCGCAGAGTAACGCAAGCAGCCGCAACACTAAGTGCAGCTGTTATTTATAGCAACATAATAGCAACAGCAGCAACAACAACACGACGCTAAGACGACCGCCTAACACCAAGCCACCCACCCAAGCAACCAAACAACCACCGAATAGTTTTGTGGGTGAGTGAGCGAGTGGGCGTCGTAATTGGCCTCAAATACAAGTGCAAGGATACACGCTTTACAGTTGCACATCGTCGTCCCGTCAAAGTCAAGGTGAGCTAAGCGGTTGCCGCGTGACGTCTCCATTTGACATTTGCGTGTGTTATGAAATTACATTTTTGACGGCCTATCGCAGCCACAAAAACTTTGTTCTAAAATTGATTTAACTTATAAGATTTTAGAAACCAACATGGAAGCAACCGTAACTGGAGTAAATGTGGGCACTGGAACAGGAACAGGAACGGCAGCAGGTGCAACAGCAGCCGCTGCCGCCGCTGCAGCAGCAACAGCAGCCGCAAATGCTCCCAATGCGAAACGGAATACGCAACAAGGACGAAAAAAGTCGGGACCGAAATTTGAATTAACCGACGCACAAAAATCGGACATTAAAGAGGCATTCGATGTATTCGACAAAGACGGCATCGGCTATATAGAGGTTAAGGAGCTTAAGGTGGCCATCAGGGCATTGGGCTTTGAGCCCAAAAAGGAGGAAATCAAACGGATGATAGCGGAAATCGATAAGGATGGCAGTGGCCGGATTGCGTTCAATGACTTCTTGCATCTGATGACCATGAAAATGGCCGAAAAGGACATCAAGGAGGAGATATTGAAGGCGTTTCGCTTGTTCGACGACGATGAGACGGGCAAGATTTCATTTAAGAATCTGAAACGCGTCGCACGGGAACTTGGCGAGACATTGTCGGACGAGGAGCTGCGTGAGATGATCGATGAGGCTGATCTGGATAACGATGGTGAGGTCAACCAGGAGGAGTTTCTGCGCATCATGAAGAAGACCAGCTTGTATTAGGCACACTTTTGGACAAATTGGACTCAAATTGAGCTCCAACTTGTGCTGAACGTGTGAACGTATTATGTTTTAAGTTGATCTTAAGCTTTAGTGTAGCCAATTTGAATGCACAGCTTTTGCTTTTATTTATTTATTAAATGTGGACTGCTTTTTATGAAAGCCTCGTCGTGTGTGCGTGTTCCTTTTCTCTGGATGTACAACATAAGCAAATGCACCGCCTGTATTTTTGCACAATATATAATCTCAATGATGAATAATAAACATCAGCTAGTTAACGTTGTCAAAGTGTGATGTGTTTTGCTTTTCAGACCCTTGGCTAAAATAGGTAAGGAAGGTTAATCGCTCGATTAGCGTATACGGCATGGATATGCTCTATCACTCTATCTGTTTGTAGTGCACTCTATCTGTAGCCATCGCGAGCGAAGTAGGTTCCCTCTTTAAAACCAGGAGGGTTTGTTTAGCTATAAACTAGTGCGTGTAATAGGAAATTCATTTTTTATGAAAGCTTTGAAGAGAGAGGGATATACATATTATATCCATATGTATATCCCTCTCTTCTCAAGCATGGTTATATAAAAAATGAAAGACAACTGACATCAAAAGAGTCTTAGTATATAACTAAGTTCTTTTTTCTCTCGTCAGTTCCTAATACTAAGTATTCAAATAATGAGAATCACAAAGAGAGGTCGTTTCACACTGTTGATTACCTATAATGATACTTGAAAATTTATGAAAATCACATTAAATTCCGTTGCCACTTCTTTTAATAAAACATTGCATTCATTTATATTTTATTTGAATAATTTTTGCTTTTATTCATATGAAAATTCACTAAACATTTTAATACTTTGCCAACTTAAGAACTAAACAAAAAGACGGAACACATAAAAAAAACTAAGCACACAATATATTAGACTTAAATTCGTTGTAAACATAATATAGTATTGGTTGATATACCTATACACACATATATAGGTGCATTGGCTTATCTAGGGAACTGGCTGGATCTAAACGAACGGCGCATTAAAGTAAATCTTTCGTTTGCTCGGCAAGGGTTTGGTGCTCAGTCCGGAACCCTCAATGAATTTCTCGAAGCTGGCCAAATTCTTCTTCATTTGCTTGACCTTGGCGGGCTCCGGTTTAATTATTGCCTGGTTCAACTGCTTCTCCTCCACATGCTCCTCATCCTGCTGCATCATTTGCTGCTCATGATCCTCCTGCTCGGTCTGCAGCTGAAACTCCTCATCCAGATTGTATTCATCGGCCGTTGTGATCAGGCACTCATTGCCCTCACTGATCTCCGCCAGCATGCCCTCGCTCTGTGCCCCCTTCGTCGTGGCTTCGTTGCTTCTATCGTACTCTGCATCCAGATTATACCAATCGAATTCGGCCTGGAGTGGCAGCCCGCTGCTGGCATCGGCCAGCTGCAGCAGCGATTTTGATGTCGGCGTTGTGGGCAAACTTTTGGGCGTTGTGGGCGTGGTCGGTGAATTGGGCAAACTCATGCGTTTGTTGATCTCGGCCAGAATATTGGGCACATGCTTGCGCTTGTACTGGGCGGGCATGGTCTGTGTATTGCTATTGTTGTTGTTGCTGTTGGTGAGCGGCAGCTGGAGGCGCAGCGTCTTGGGCGCCATTAGCATATAGTCGGCGGATTGCTTGGGCGCTATAATGGCCGCCACATTGGGTAGCTTTGGTATATCGGCGAAAATCTCTTCGATTTCCTCAGTCTTGTGCGAGGCGGCCGCTGAGCAGGCATCATCATCATCATCGGAACAGTGATTCTGTTGCAGCTCCTGCTCACATTTCCGTTCCCGTCCCCGTTCACGTTCCGCTTCTGGCTCTGTGGGCGTGCTGGACTCCGGTACGTTGTGAACGTCGGCAACGATTTGTACACTCGTCACGCCCACCTCGGCTATGGAGCAGTAGTCCGGCTCGCTTGTCGTTGTCGTGGATGCCGCACAATCGCCCTCATCTTCGTCCAGGTGCTCCTCGAGCTGCTGCAGCGACTTCTTGAACTTGAGCAAATTCGCCGGCTTGGGCGGCAATGCGGGCGGCAATTTCTGCGGCGTCTTGACGCTGCCAACGTTGGCATCTGCTGTCGCGGCTGCCATGTCCACATACAGATTGGAGGCACGCTCCGAGCCAATTGGCTCGTACTCATTGCTGTAGATGCTCTCGTAGTTGAGGGTATCGCCGGGCACAACGGAGCCGGCGGCGGCGGCAGCGGTTGCAGCGGTTTCTGCCATGGGATGATAGTGTGAGATCAATTCGTTGGCATTATGTTGCTCCTCCTCGTCGTCGTGCCGCGGCACATGCACCATGCTGTTCTTCGTGGAGAAGTGCACCCGCTTGCGTCCATTCGTGCCGCTGCGGCCGCTCAGGGAGCTGCGACGCGGCAAATTGGAGCCCGTCTTGGGCGCCAGCGCTGACTTGGGGGTGCTTGGCTCGCGCAGCGTCTCCTCCATGGATTGTTGCAGCAGTATCTGATTGACGCACTCGAGCACGGGATTGACAGCGCCATGGCCGTATGACTTGGCCACCACGGGCGCTGTGCTCAGCTCCTCCTGGTCCGAGGCACTGGCATACCAATCATCTGTGGTCGTCTCGTAGATCTGCTTGGGCGAGGCCTCTGAGAAGTCGGCACAGCGGCGCTGCACAATTTTGATAGCGCCACGAGACATTAGCTGCTGCTCCTGCTCCGGATCGAGTTCATCGAAATCTTCATCGTCCTGTGTGGGCGAAAAGATGCCATCATCCTCCTCCAGCTGGGCGGCAACCGAGGAGACGGTCTTGCTGCTGCGACTGGAAGCCGAGCTGTTGCGTCGCCGTTGCTGCTGCTGCTGCTGCTCCAGCTCCAGGCTGCTGTGCTCGGAGTAATCGCCATCCTGTAGCGTTGACTTCACTCCATGCATGCGCTCCATCGCCCGAGCATAGTTGTGCAGCTGCTCATAGCTCGTCTGCGAGTCCTCGCGACTAATGCTGCTCGTGTTCTCCTCCGACTGTTGCTCCAGTGCCGCATCATCGATGTGCATTGCCCGGGAGCGCATATAATCCCGAAACGTGCCCGCTGTACGCTTGCTTGTGTAACGCACACTGCGCCTGGCGCCATAAAACGACGATGAGACCGTGTCATCGCTGGAAGAGCCGTGCTCAGCTGAAGATATTGAGTGAGAGTGAGAGAGAGAGAGAGAAATGTATGGATTAATACAAATATCCAAAAGGTCTTGCTTAGAGATGACAACCTGCAAAGGATTACTAAATGGAAAGCAAGTGTAAATTAATCTTTGAATTGCACTAAATTAATCTTTGCATCCTCATATTTTGATTATGTTTTGTATATAGTATGAATATTCAGTATTTTATTATTATTATTTTCGTATTTTATTTAGTACATTATTATTATTATTATTATTGTTATACCCTGAACCCATTGAAAATCGAAATCAGGCTATAATGGCTTTGATGAAATGTGTGTAACAGCAGGAAGGAGGCGTGGCAGACGCCATAAAGTATATATATTCTCTACATCTTTGCAGCTAGAGTCGCCAAGTTTTAATTGTAGATTTATATGTAATTAATCGAATTTCGGCTCTTATTATAATTCACCTTCACTCCTAAATACACCCCCTCGCCCTTAAATTTATAAAAGGCGTATTTCAAATACTAGACACTTGTGCTTTGGCAGATGCATGCATCTCAATGTAATAATCACGATCGGAAATTTTAATAAATATACCATCGGTGGAGTGTCATATCATTCAGCTTCTGTCATGCAGTTTCATCGCATTTAGCTTCTGCCATGAATTCGCTAGAAGACCTAAATTAATATTTCGGTGAGTCATATGATTATGTTTTTTATTTCGTGAGCAATGAGGATAAATTTTTCCGCAAGCTTCATTTTATTCAGTCTTTGGCATTGATGCACCTTACATTGAGTCTCGTAGCATTCAGCTTTTGTCATGCAGCTGCCTTCACTCTAGTTTTCGCCACATTCACTAGAAGAGTTGGCCCACAGTTTCAGAAGCATTCATGGGGCTATGACTTTCATTTAGCGAGCAAAGTCTATTCAATATTTCCACAAGTTTTATAAATATACCCGAGTGTCATATCATTCTGCTTCTGTCATGCAGTCTCCGAGCATTTAGCTTCTGCCTTAAATTCGCTAGAAGACCTAAACTAAGAGCACTTATATTTTTTTTAATCATGAATATGTTTTCTATATCATGAACAATGAATTCATATTATTCAGTCTTTGGCATTGATGCACCTTACATAGAGTCTTGTAGCATTCAGCTTTTGTCATGCAGCTGCCCTAACTCAAGTTTCAAGTTTTGTTTTTATAACATTCACTAGAAGAGTTGGCCCACAGTTTCTTAATCATTCATGTTTTTTTTCCGGAAAGAGCAAATTAGGATCAATATTCTACAAGTTTGATTAATGCACATTCCATCGAGTGTCGTAGCATTCAGCTTTTGTCATGCAGCTGCCTTAACTCAAGTTTCAAGCAAATATGATCAATATTTCCACATATTTCATAGATGTCGGTAAATAGTTGTCGAAATCGATAAATAGTTATCGAGGAGTTCTCCAAATCGAGTATTACTATCGAAATTGATTGGTTGATAAACATGGAATTGACACTAATGTACCTTACATTGAGTCTCGTAGCATTCAGCTTTTGTCATGCAGCTGGCTTCACTGTAGTTTTTGCCACATTCACTAGAAGAGTTGGCCCACAGTTTCAGAGGCATTCATGGGGCTATGTTTTTTTCCGGAAAGAGCAAATTAGGATCAATATTTCTACAAGTTTTATTAGCGCACTTCCCACCGAGTGTCGTAGCATTCAGCTTTTGTCATGCAGCTTTCCTAACTCAAGTTTCAAATTATGTTTCTGTACCATTCACTAGAAGAGTTGACACCGATTTTTATTCTTTATCATTCGTAAGGCTTATGTCTTTTATTAGGGAGCAAATTCTGATCAATATTTCCACAAGTTTCATAGATGTACTATCCATCGAGTCTCATATCATTCAGCTTCTGTCATGCAGACTCAGGGCATTTAGCTTCTGCCATAAATTCGCTAGTAGATCTAAACTAAGAGCACTTATATTTTTTTTTGAATCATGAATATGTATTCTTTATCGTGAACAATGACTTCATATTATTCAGTCTTTGGTCTTTGGCATCGAGACTTGTAGCATTCAGCTTTTGTCATGCAGCTGCCCTAACTTAAGTTTCAAGTTTTGTTTTT